GAAAAACAGCCCTGCCATTGGTTGAGCATGTGTTGCTTTAAAGAACTAATGCAAATGATGCAGTCTCAAGTGCTTTCTGAAACTAGAAAAAATTCAAAAGACATTGAGTTGTGCAGGCAAAGCATATGACGAACTGTTTGGTGCCATTAGATTATTATCTGGCAATATTGTCGACTTCATAGCACAGACACTATTTAAACTGAGCTGAGATGGAAGATGACATCACTGAATCAATAATGAGCTGACTTTAACTGAAAAATTGAGTGTTTACTATTGTCATTATGCATTATCGAACTATTTTCCTGTTCAGCACATTAAAGCTGCTTTGACACAATCTGTATTGTATATTAGTATTAGCTGTTGTTAGTTTCAAAATGCTCTATTAAAAATGCTCGGCTGCTGCTGGTGACAAAATGATTGGAAAAGTGTGTGTTAGAATCTTTAGTCACAGTGGGGTTCACATGAAGGTTTGCTACGACATGTTTTTAGATTTTTTTTTTTCCAGATTCTTTTTTAATGCTCACCATGGCTGCATTTATTTGATAAAGTATTGTAAAAACATTTAAAATTTGAAAATGAAAAATTTCAGAATTGTTTTCTGTTTTATTATATATTCAAATATAATTTATTCCTATGGTGACAGCTGAATTTTCAGCAGCCATTTCTCCAGTCTTCAGTGTCAAATGATCCTTCAGAAATCATTCTAATATGCTGATTTGGTGCTCAAGAAACATTTTTTTTTTATCATCAATGATGAAACCGTTGTTCTGCTTAATATTTAACCATATTAAAAATAATATATATTTTTAGGATTCTTTGATGAATAGAAAGTTCAAAAGAAAAGCATGTATCGAAATAGAAATCCTTAATGTATCATTCCAACTATCTTTGTCACTTTTGTATCTGAATAGAAATGTTAAAAAAAAATTACAGACCTCAAATGTTTGAACTGTAATATATGAGTAATGGTAGACATTATTCCATTATAATCTGAGTAATACTTTGAATTATCACTGACAGCCCCTTCACTCTATGAGGACATTTATCTAAATGAAAGTTTTCCTAATCTAGTAGCAAATGTGATTAAGATTTTTTAGTGTTTATATCTGAATTTGGCTCATATTTGAGGTCATATAAGGCCAACAGGGTCACTGGTTCACCCAAACGGACTGCTTATTTACCCATTCAAATATTAATTCGTTTTTCATTATAAAAAAATAATAATAATTGCCTGTATATCATCATATTACTTATAGCTTGAAAAATGTTTTTGTCAGGTTTTGTGTTCTGCAGTAGTTCACAAGATTTATTCTTGCCTCCAGCACCACAGAGATAATAATTGTATTTATGAGGTTTTTCAATCTGGTTTTAAGTCTGCTCACTGCACTGAGTCTGCCCTTTTGATAGTTTTAAATTATATTTACCTCTCTACTGATTCCGGAGACTCGGTGGTTCTTATTCTTTTAGATCTATCGGCTGCTTTTGATACCATAGACCATTCCTCACTGTTGTCTAGATTAGAGTCTTGGGTAGGTCTAAAAGCAAACGTTCTGAAATGGTTTCAGTCATACCTGTCTGACAGAAAGTTTTTAGTGAATTTTTCCTCTTCCCCTGCTCCTCTGACCTGTGGCCTTTCACAAGGCTCTATTTTAGCTCCCTCTTTATTCTCTCTTTACATGTTACCTCTGGGCTCTATCCTACGAAAACATGGTGTGTCTTTTCATTTTTACGCAGATGACACTTAAATCTATCTGCCAATCAAGAAAAAAAATTCCACTGCGATTACTTCTCTTCTGAAATGTTTAGAAGAGGTTAAATCATGGCTAGCCCAAAATTTCCTCTTCCTAAATGAAGACAAGACCGAGGAAATTGTTTTCGGTCCAAATGATAACTCTCAGTGTATAAGCCCCGAGTTAGAAAGTTTATCCATTTTTAGATCCTTGCGGGTGCGGAACCTAGGTATTCTAGTCGACCAGCATTTAAAATTTGATAAACATATCTCTCCTGTCATTGGGTCCAGTTTCTATCAGCTTCGTTTACTGTCTAAAATTAAAAACTTTCTCACTCCAAAAACTCTAGAAATGGCTGTTCATGCGTTCGTTACGTCTCGTCTAGATTACTGAAATTATTTATATTGCGGTATATCTAAATCTCAAATTGCGCGTCTTCAGCTTGTCCAAAATGCTGCGGCCAGACTTCCTTTAAAGTGTCGTAAACGTGAACACATCACTCCAATTCTTAGATCTCTACACTGGTTGCCTGTTTGTCAGAAAATAGACTTTAAAATTCTCCTCTTTGTATATAAATCCCTACATAACCAAGCTCCTGTCTATCTATCTGACCTTCTTTACTTCTATACTCCGTCTAGAAGCCTACGATCCTGTGACCAGGCCTTGTTGGTGGTCTCTCACGTTAGGCTTAAGCGTAGAGGGGAGCGTGCATTTGCAGTGGCAAGGCCACGACTCTGGAATACCCTGCCTTTAGAGATTAATGGCCCCTTCTTTGTCTGTTTTTAAGTCCTTGCTAAAAACGTATTTGTTTTCCTTAGTGTATTGACTACTGTGATATGGTAATTTTTAAACGTGCGGTTTTAAATTTTTGTCTGGTTTGTTCTCTGTGTATGTGGTAAAATTGTTGCTCTTCTGGAAAGCACTTTGGTCAGCCTGGTGGCTGTTGTATATGTGCTCTACAAATGAACTTGAACTTGATATCATTATTACCTATAACATAAAAATTTAGCTTAAGTGTGCCGTTATTGCACAGTGAATTGTGCAGCTCTACATAATTCTGTGTAAAATGAGCTAATATTTTCTAATAAAGGCTAATGATGGGGTTACACTTCACAACACTCAATGAAATTACAGAGAAGGTACAGAATAGACGTCCACCCACCGAGATTTCTGGCCTCGCTGCTGTGTGGGAGAAATGAATTGGCTTTGTGTTGTTATCAGAAGCTATAGCTAAATAGCAAAAGAGACAAACAGGGAGAGATATAAACAGTTTCAACCTTCATGTCATACAAACTTTTTTCCAGCAATGATCATACTCCTAAATTATGTCATGTTTTTCATCCTTCATCTAATCGATCTGTGTGTGTGTGTTTGTACTGTAGATATGTTTTGCTGTCGACTGTTGTTTTGAAGTCGTGTTCTTCATCATGGCATCTGTGAGCTCAGCGGTGCCCATCATGCTCTGCTGTATCCCTTAATAAAATCTAGGCCAGTTCACGCATCTCCAATCCACTCTGATCTTTATCTCTTTCTCTTTCTGTTTTCCTCTCCGTCCATCTCTCTCGCCCTCTCTTTCTCTCTTTTCACAGGCAAGTCCTGCTCCAATTATTGTCAACACGGACACTTTGGAATCTGTACCATACGTGAGTTTTGATTTTTCATAAATTTATTGCATGTTCATGACATTATGCACAGCCGTGACATTGCAGATCATCCACTTGATCAGATCGATGCCCATGCAGAGTGAGTGGCGAAAGAGTTTGACATCCTTTTTTTTTGCTCTTCATAAATGTAGTGCCATTTATCACTCTCCATTCTGCGCAAATACTATCAACGTATTCAATGATTGATGGCTTTTCATAAATTAACCAGATAAGGAGGCCAGTGATTATCGGCGGGTTAGATTAGCACAGGATTTTCTGTTATGGGTTTGAAATATTAATGTGTGGAGTCAACTGTTTTTTGGTGGGCTGTATGAGAGATATTTGATGAATGGTTTAAAACAAGTCAAATCAGTTAATTATGATATTCCATTTCAGTTAGTATGCTGCCTTAAAAAGTCGCTTCCAGTTTGCTAGGTTTTAGATCCGAGCAATTGGTAGAAAAATCATGAATTGCACATATGACCGAACAGGTGATTGGAGTGAATGAAAGAACACAGAGGGGGAGAGCAGTGTTGAATCAGACACTAACACAAAGTGATAAACACTCAGCATGAAGTGTATAGAGTTCACAGACACACTAACAACACAGCTTGACCTTCAGTCAGCTGAGGCAGGTTTTGTCTGTCTCCTGCAAACTCCAAAATAATCGTCTGTTATTTCCTGTTTCTGCAATGATGTAATTTGACCATGAACAGAAATGGCCAGCCATTTATGAACAACCCAGAACATTCTTTGTTTGTTCTGCTTAAGCTTGCTTGTTCAGCCAATAAGATAAATCAAAAATAAGATAATTTTAACCAATCAATTGTTTCTCCTTAATGGCGTTGAGTTTAATTGAAGATTAAAAAGGTCTCTTCCTGTAACATCAAGGGAAATATCCCTCTGTTGTGCTGTTTTGTATTGGCTCTTATGCACATCCTTCACGTTCACTGAGGATAATTTCATTTGATTCTTGTTTCTCTGCTTGCATCGCAGTAATGAAATATTAACATCAAAGCATATCCAGATGACTGTGAATGCGCAGTGTTGTAGTCAAAGCGCCGTACTTCCATCAACAACGCCAGATCGACCATGACATCCTGAATCCAGCAACAAGCCTAATGCTGTTAAGTCGGTTTAATTGCTTTTCCCCCTTCTTTTCTTGCTGTTCTCAGTTTAAAGCCCAGTGTGGACATGTGTTGAAGTATGTGTGAGATTACAATGATTATGAACTGCTTTAAGCAGCAATCTGTCTCTGATAGAACTTCTCCTAATAGCCTAATACAAGAGAACAAGCAAGAGAAGAGGGAGTTCTGGGAAAAGAAAACACTGATGGATTACTCCAGTAAAGGTGTTCACTCTGAGTTTAGCCTATAAACACACCCTGTGTGTGTGTGTCGTTTGTGTGTTCTGTGCTCTCAAAATGCAAATCTCTAAAGTAGAATAGATTAATTTTTTTCTTTGCTGATAACTTGAGAAAAGTCATTACAACAATATTAAGGATGTTGTAAACCTAAAATGTTAGATATGGCATCACTGGGATTTACCATATGCTGCGTTTTAGATTTACGCGCTTAATCTTCAGTCTATCTGAGTTTTGTTTTTATACAATCTGTTTACAACCCAGTGATTTTATTTAAGGGTGGACCATCATACAATTCACATTGTACACGCATACAAAATCATCACCTTGTAAAAAAGTTATTGAGTTGTCTTTGTGGAGATAAAAAGACTTGACATGACCCCAGAAACAGAAGAGAGAGGTGCTGCAGTAAAGCCAGTGGGAAAGGACCACATCAAGCTCATTATGCATGTATTCATGCAGTACATTTATCCTACACACACACATTCACTCACCCAGCACAGTATCATCTGTTCACTTTTTTTAAAAGGAACCTTGGTTGCTTTAGTGCAGATTTGCCTCGGGTTAAATGCTACGTGGGCTTTGTGCTGTTTATCAAGGAATTGTCAAGGCTAGTTGAAAACCAAGCTTAAAAGACAGATTTTTCTTTGGAGTCATGAAAAAAATGAGAAATGTTTCCATCTGTTGCTGCTTCTGAAAGATGTTGAAGAAATGCAAGAGTGTGTAAAGCTGTCAGATGTTATAAGGTACATAAAGCAGTGCAATAGACCTTAGTCAGAGAAAATGCCATATTTAATTTGATGCAAAAGAAACATTCAGTAGGCAAGGTTGCAAAGCTGTCGAAATAAATAGTCTTTACAAACAATTTAGGTTGTGAAAATAAACGTAGGATATTGGTATAAAGATGCATTATCTTTTTAATGCATTACTACTTTTAAAAAATATATTTTACAATATTACTGTAGTTTTGATTAAATAAATGTGTCTTGATGAGCACTTATGTTTTCTTCAAAAACTTTTAAAAATATATATTTTAACGGTAGTATATATTGTGCATATTAATAGATTAGACAATCCAAGTTTTAAGTTTAAGTAAAATTTGTGTGCAGTTTATATTATTGCATTGTTAGCTTAGCAAAATGTTAACATTAAACTCGGTCTACAAAAGATATTTTGTGTAGGTCCATGGCTGTCTGTAAACAATAGATGAAAAGACAGCTCACTAATTTTGGAGCAAAGTTAATATATTGCAATTATATGCACAAACAAATGAATATTCAATAGACACTACAGTTTAAATCCCACTGCTGCCTAGTTTTAGACCTGGTGAGAAATCTGGTTAAGTACTGTTAATTATGAAGCCTCCACTGTGCTCACTGTTACTGTAGTGGGAACAGAGCTCATCTAGAATGTGCACTAAAGATAATCAAGGGGGGCGACAGGATTAATAAAGCATTATTGAGTCAGTGTAGCTGTTAAATAACATCTGCCTAGCTTCAGCAAAATGACCCTTTCTGCCTACTTTTAACACCGCCTTTGTTTCCATTAGCTGTCAGGAATAACAGTGGTTAGTTCATAGTGCTAATTAGTCCACGTGGGTGTGTATTGAGGAAACCGAGTCTTATTATGTCGCGGCCCGAGGGATATTTCGTGTTTAATCACTGCGATGGGCGTAAAAATATGCCATCCCATCAGGCAGAACTCTAAAGGGAAAGCTTCTTGCTCGAAAGTGCCCAGTTCCTGCATTGTAGTCAAACAGTCGCCATGGAAACATGACCCGCTCTGCGTCATTTGCACAAGCTGTGCGGATGAACGCACTCAGGCACATCGTACATTTGCGAGATTGCACTAATTTTAGCATTTAGTTACAGTAATGTGTCCAATTTGTGCCCAATCCAAGGTTCCAAATGCCCCAATACATCCTGGTGTTGACTCTGGACCAACTGACTAAATATGTTACCAAATCTTCCTGCAAGACTGAAGAACGTCAGCTAGAATTTAACAAATGAATTCATTTGAGAAATGTTGTGGAGTGAGAGACTGCGTTCAGCTCTGTGCTCTTGACATCTGTTTGGTCCTCATGTTTAAGAGCAGGTGTAGTCTAGGGGCGTCCAACTGATGCTGTAAATGAAAGGTCACGTCGCTCTGAGGAGAGCAGTGAGACCGTATTCAGCTATGTCTCTCTCTCTTTCTCTCTGTTGAACAGCTGAGGTGGCTGAGGCATAAATGAGCTTGTTCACTGGGTTTCAATTAACCATGAATGACTGTTTCTCTTTCTCCAGCTGTCTGAAATACTTCCTGCAGTATAAAAAAAAGTCAAAATGTGAAACATGCACACTCACTGTAAATGCCAAGGCTGCCTTATTATCGAGGCACTTCAACTTAAAATGTCCTTATTCAAAACACGCTATGTGGACGGCACCTGTCAAATGATGCTGGTTATCACAGAAATTAAATCTTTTAATAGCTGTAAAATGTTGTAAAAACATACACAAATTGTATTACAATAGAGTGCACCAATGAATAAATAAGTACAATGTATTTCTGCTACAGTTATTTTAAATTGCAGTAATATTTTACAATATTACTTGTTTACTGTATTTTTGGTCAGATAAATGCAGCCTTGTGAGATTAATATACTTTCAAAAACATAAAAAAAATCTTACCAACTTTTGAGCTGCTATATATAATATGTAACTATAATATGATAATAATTATAGTAATTTTGTCTTTTATATATCCACTTGTACATAGTAGCAAGGTCCTTGTAGTCCTATTATCTGAAGAAGTCAAATTTTGAAGATATTTGTAAACTCAAATTATGAACGTGAGAGCAGCCATGTTGCTTGAAAAGCTCTTTAGCATGTATTAGAGCACCTTATGGCCATTGCATTTACTTCACTTATTAAAGAATAATTAAGATGAATGTCTCCAATCAAGCACGAAGATGACCCTCATTTGAAATTGAACTTGAAATTGGATTAGTTGTCTTTCAATGCCATTTCTAGCAGCACGTTGAGTATGAATTCATCTCCAAATAGCTACCTGAGCCAGCATGTCTGCCCTAGAGGCCTGGTACCATTGTACAAGCAGGTAAATTATTATGGATTTTAGTGTCCAGACTCAGATTTAGACAATTACAGATAATGCGGTGAGCTGAATAGATATGAGGCTCAATGTCTGCTGAAGATGTATGAAAGCCTGTCCCTGTTTCATTCAAGGAGAATGAGTTGAATGCTGATGTTTTTAAGAGGTTATTTGACTAATCCTTTAGCACAATAGCTTCAGTCCTAAAATGTTTTGAACTGTTATGAACCTCTTTCCACATCATTTGGCTGCTGCTGGTTTAGGATGTCATTGTGGCATCATAGTTAGATATTTAATGTGACGGTTAAATGATTAATGCCCTTTTTGAATTGCATCTGCAAACACATCTAATGGGATTTCATTTTTTCCCCCCTCCAATAGGTAAATGGGACCGAAATTGAATATGAATTTGAAGAGATTACATTAGAGCGGGTAAGTGTCTGTCTCTCTCTCTCACAGTACACATTCGTAGATATGTAGACTTGAGTTGAGCACAGGTCATGTTTTATGCTAGTGTAGATTCTTTTGCCTGATAATCCAGTCAGTCACAGCTTGGTTTGTGAGCATGATCTTGAAACATAACCATCAAACATGACCAGTCATGGAACAAGGTTAGTCTGTGATTAGTAATGACTTTAAATGTGAGATAATTTGATTTAATGTTGATTGCTTTTTAGATTTGTCTTGTCATTGTGTGGATAAACTCTCGAAAAGAGAATTTGCCTGCCTGACCAAAATATTAACAGAATCCTGTAAATGTTATACGTCATCTAAATGTGTGTATATATATATATATATATATATATACACACACACATGCGCGCGCGCATATATTCAGGGTAGATTGGGTAGATTATTTACAATTTGTAGTCTGTTACTGCTTACAGATTATATGATGAAAACTGTAGTTAATAACGTAATCTAGGTTGCTCATTTTAGGAAATGTATACATTTTAGATTACTTTTAGATTACTTTTTTTTTTAATTGAACTTGTTTTAGACTTATTGTACCTTGTTGATATTATAAAAGCAAAGAGAAAGAAAATATATTAAATTTTTTATATCAACATCAAAAAATGCATTAAACATTATATTAGGGTTTCCCAAACTGGGCTTAAAACTGCAGCGAGTTGATAAAAATCTAAATTATTGAAATATTAACTAAACTATTTTATTTTAAGGAGTTCACAAAAACATGGGAATGTTCATTACATGAACAAACATTAATAAACATGGAAACAAAAATGACACACCCAGAGTCTTCCAGGTTTGAAATGTTTTTGCCCAGAACAATATGTAATCATGTGGTCCATAAAAAAAGTAACTGTAATCTGATTATGAGCATTTTATCTGATGATTACATAATCCAGATTACATATAATCAGTTACTATCCAGCACTGTATATATACACATAAACAATTGGTAATTTTATACTTCATTATAATTAAGTATAATTAATTAATATTTATCAATTATGGTTGCACCTTTAAAGACACAATAGCACAAACTGAACATAACTAAACAAAATTTGGTACTGATCTTATGTTTGTAATCATGAATATTTAATTTTTAAAATGTCTCTGAATTATATACGATTATATTTATTCATGATAACACTTAATAAAATATATATTGTGTATGTTATAAAACTAAGAATATCATAATACCTTTTATAATACATTATATATACAAACTCTTTAGAAAGTATTACTGAAGTTTTCATTTTGACGTATCACAGAACCCTCTTAATTGGGCTACTGTATATGCTTTATTTGCAAGTGAAAGCCTGGGGTAAACAGTAGAGTCAGTGTGTGAGAGAGAGAAAATTAGACGGCTGCAGATGACATTCTGGCAGCTGCAATCGGATCCACATGACTAGACACAGAGCACGGACAATAGCAAAGGTCAACTAGACCAGAGGGAGCGCAGATTTGTCCGACCCTGGAGCCAGGAGGCTGAGAGTGTATATTCAGGGATTTCTGCAGACTCGACTGAGATTACAAGCTAGAAAATTGGATACAAGCCGAGGCGATAACTCTGCTGCTAGAGGCTGATCTGTTATTGTCACCCATTTCTCTCTCTTTCTTTCACTTTAAAAGCATCTCTGCACCCTGATGCTATAGTTTTGGTATTGCCTTTTCGTAACTTTGCTGTTCTATCCAATCTCTCAACGTAGCCAGGGAACATCTCTAATCAGCAAAGGTTAATTCTCCTCACGATCCACTTTGTTTAAAGCTTAAAAGCCTGTGTATTATACAGACGCGGAACCCTGGAGAGCCCCATCATAAACACGTCACTTCAAAATATTAGCCTGTTAGTCTATTTATGTCTCAGAGATGTTAAATGTGGCTCTAGCCCACGGTTGTGACAGGTTTTGATTTGTGAGTTTGCGCTGCTGTCAGAGGCGCATGCCGTGCCAAACTGTAAACACTGATGAGTCATGGGTAGCAAAGTGCACCTCATACAAAAATAATGTTACACTTCTCTCTTTGTTCATTCTGTTGTTGTTCTGTTATTTAGGCTCTTTTCACTGAGGCAGAGGTCTCATAAAGGGCCAATCTATCTTTCATATATTCCTCTGTGTGTGTGTGTGTGTCTCCTCAGGGTAACTCAGGGTTGGGGTTTAGTATAGCAGGTGGTATAGATAACCCTCACATCGGCGATGATCCTGGGATCTTCATCACAAAGATAATCCCTGGAGGAGCAGCAGCTGAAGATGGCAGACTCAGGTGGGCCAGTATTTTGTAAAAAAAACTTGTGTGCATGCATTTGTTGTGTTACATGCAAGATTGTCTTTACATATTCTCTAAATACACACTCAAATTTGTATGCTAAAAGTATAATACACACTTAGACATGAAGAACCTAAGACATCCATAAAATCTTTCCATTGTACAAAAAAGTTTTTTATAGTGGAAAAAGGTTCTTTAGACTATTAAAATGTTCTTCACAGTAAGAAAAAATATATATTTTATGAACTGTTTATTGAAAGATTCTTTGGGGAACCCAAAATGGCATTGTTGCAGAAAAACCCCTTTTGGAACCTTTATTTCTGAGTGTATGTAATGACAATTGTGGTCTTAGACTTTTTTTAGTTTTATGTCCATTCTGGAAGTGATTATGAATTGATATTAAATATTTTGATGAATTGATGGATTATCAGAGGAAATAATACTGTTTCTTATAAATTCAGTAGATCACTAGGTAATTTTCTTTTTCAAAACATGAGATTAATGATCTCGTTTATTGCTCTTGCTTTGTAGAGCAATCTCTTTCTCTCTTTCCCTCTTTTGCCTCTCGTTGCTGTAAATGATTGAAACCGGGCTGTTTATCACAGTCCTAACGTCTCTGGAGAGCTGAAGTACCTGAAGTTTTCTGCTGACTGCCACACACTCTGACCGCAAGGTACTTTAAAAAATGTACCATCTGCGAGGTCTGAGGTGACGTGTGTGGGAATAACGAATAGACCTGACCAAATCACTTTCAGATCACGTCAGTCTTCCACAGGGTAAAAACAAACACGTTTGCATTATACATTTTATGTAAATACTCAAGATTCGAAGATTCTTTTCTTGATTTAGTGAGAATTTATTTTTAAAGAAACATTTTTGTGACACCTTACTGAAGGATTAGTGAATGAAAGCAATGAAATTAAAGGGATAGTTCACCCTAAACATTTAGATTGTATCATTTACTCACCCTCATTTGTTCCATACCTGTATGACTTTCTTTCTTTTGTGGAACTTACATGGAGATAATTTGATATTTTGACAATTGTCTATATTATTCATTTTTCAAGTTTGCAATCAAAATTTTGATGAATATGAATGTAACTATTTTTCATTCCACAAATACCAAATTATCTGATACTTTCCACACTCTTGCTGGATGGCAACAATTATCTCAGTTGTTTCTATTTTTATGTCTCCCAAGGAATTTTGGGAGAAAGTTGATTATTGAATAATATGACAGAACTCAATTATGTCTCCTGATCTATGAAAGAGCATTATTTGAGCAATAAGATGTTCCTCTGCATGTTTCTGAAGAGGTTGAAGGTTTAATTGATATTGGTGCGCTGTAGAGTTTCTATTCCTGGCTGGATGTGTTTGAAATTCATGTCAGGGCCGATAGGAGTTGATTGAGAGGGTTGTTTTATTAGAGGGAAGCATAATTAGATTGTGCTGGAGAGATAGCAGATCTTCCTGTGTTTTGTAGGCATGTGTGTGTGGCGCTCCGAACAGCAGCTGCATGTGGCAGCCCCGTCTGAGCCTTTCGCCCTGCTCTGCTCCATGGCTTGGCTGTTTTCTTTTATCCTCTCGCTCTCAATCAGGTCTGTCAGGGCTTGGAGCATCACCAGTCCTCTTCTTGCTTGTTCTCTCTGGGCAAGTTGCACCACTTCAACATTCAGTATTCTGCCTTATACCCACAGTCATCTTTCTCACTCTTTCTCTTTCCATTCCCCTTCCCGTCCACCCCATATTCTGCATTCTGTCTTTTAAAAGAGTACGACACTTTGAACGTTCGCCAATACGCTGTGATAGATTTATTGTGAGTTGGAGGTGAACAGCCTTTAGAGAAGCAATTACATCGTGTATGGGTTTTTTCTCTGCTCTACCCTTGTTTGACTTTGGGAGTGTTGGAAGCGGAACAGTCTCTGGATAAGTCATGCAGGCTTTAAAGATTGGAGGTGCAAAGGAACAGGAAGTTGCATCAGAGATTCTATATTGGGTAAAGGTCTTGTATGATCAGACTTTACAGAGCTGGACTGGGATCAGTGATGGGAATAAGACATTTCTGGGCATGGTTAGAGGAGAGGGATGCATAGGGAAACTATAGAAGGCTTATGCTCAGCTAAAACAAAAAAAAAAATTTTTAAGTATATGATTAAATGATTGAAACATGTAAATAATAAAATAAATAATTAAACAATAAAATGAATATATGAAAAGTAAATAAATCATATTAGATAATATATGTGTTTGTGTTATACTATT